CTCTCTCTCTCTCTCTCTCTCTCTCTCTCTCTCTCTCTCTCTCTCTCTGTGTGTGTGTGTGTGTGTGTGTGTGTGTGTGTGTGTGTGTTTGTGTTGCATACTAGTGAATACTTCACCAAGTATGGGCAGAACCAAAGATCAACCAATATAGGATGAGCATGTATACAGCGGAAGTCTGAGAAATGGACTGACTCACATTGACTGGACTTACCCCAAACATCACTCGACACCCAAGCAATCGTGAGATGGTGGGGTCTGAAGCCATACATAGACAATGCTTCAGGCCCCGTACAACCATACACAGATGAATGGTGGGAGGAGAGACACTGGAGGTGGGAGATATGGGCATCGCCAGATGTCACCGAGATAGAATCCAGAAAGTCACCGATATGGTAGCCCAAAATGTCACCGAACAAAATCAGAATGTCATAGACATAAGTCACCAATGTCGGAGGTACAGAATCCTAATGTAACCGATGCCCGATCTGTGATGCCGCCAGGTATCACTCCCAATTATCTCCAATGTCTCGAAGTCCAACCACTGACCTCTGCCCAACTCGTATCAATAGTCTCCAGTCTGAAGAAGAAGAAGAAGAAGAAGAAGAAGAAGAAGAAGAAGAAGAAGAAGAAGTCAGAAGAAGAAGAACTTTGAGGAAGAGGAAGAAGACTGAGAGGGGAGGCAGAGAGTCGGGGGAGATGGCGAGTAGCCTCAGGCCTAACCTGCGTCTGCAAGATGGCGCCTTGGCTGATGCGGGAGCTGGGCTGAGCCGCTGGGATCTATGGCGCTCACGGTACTCTAGGTAAGTCTCCCTCCTCGCGTCCCTTTGCTGCAGTGCGCTAAACTTAGCGCTGCAGCTGCAACCGCTGCGCTGAACCAGGAATAGCGCAGCTTGGTGCCTCCTGCCATACTGCCTTCCAACCTGCTGGAAAGGCCGTTGGACCGGCCTAAGTACCTTCCGGCGGCCGGTCGGCCTCAATGCTGCCCCAGCGCGCCGTGATCTGAATCGTCAAGATTGACGATTCAGATCAGACCGGCGGGCGGCATCCTCAAGAGCGCCACCAGGCCCAACGGTAATGTCGTTTGGGCCTATACCTGGTCTGCTGCGGGAAACCCATCCGGTGGCCTCATGCGGCCTACCGGGAGAAAGGTCCGGCCTTTGGCTGGGCCGGCCTAAGTACCCCTTGGTCTAGTGGTCGGGTCCGAAAGGGACCCATGTGGCATCAGTATGTAACTCTCTCTCTCTCTCTCTCTCTCTCTCTCTCTCTCTCTCTCTCTCTCTCTCTCTCTCTCTCTCTCTCTCTCTCTGATGTAACCTGGTACTGACCTGCAGAAAGGTGACGCCTTGATGCAGGTATGGACGTGCTGAAGACGAAGCTGGAGCTATGGCGTCGCAGGTAAGTCGACAGGAAAGTTCCCTGGCCTCCGCCTCATCCTCTACGGCTCTCTAAACCCCGCTGCAGTGTGCTGCACCCCAAGCTCGAAGCTGATGTCGCCAACATGATGAGGAGCGCCCATCGCTGAAGTCTACTGCTACTGCGCCCAGCACATCAAATATTCTACCTCCAACTCTGTGTGTGCACAATGAGTCTGGCCCAGCTATATATAATGCCGGACCTAGTGTGCTGGGCTGAAGGAGGGCAGGAGAACTGACTTCCAGACTGGGTAACTGGCGCCAAAACTGAATCTGAAAAATGTGGCAACTGGCGCCCAGAGAACCGTCGCCCAAACTTGGTAACACTGGCGCCCAGGGGAACTGGCGCCCAAACTGCTGAAAAATGTGGCAACTGGCACCCAGGAACTGGCACCCAAACTGAGTAACTCTGGTGCCCAAGTGTACCTGGCCTAGATGATGGCCACTGGGCCTGCATCAGCCCTCATATGGGAGTCAGATGCATGCCTAAAGATGCTATTTTTAGCACAACAAGCCTAGAGAGGCTACTTTTAGCACAACAAGCCTAGACATGCTATTTTTAGCACAACAAGCCTAGAGATGCTATTTTTAGCACAACAAGCCTAGACGTGATATTTTTAGCACGACTAGCCTAGACGTGCTATTTTTAGCACAACACGCCTAGACGTGCTATTTTTTGCACAACAAGCCAAGATGTGCTAGTTTTAGCACAAACCTAGACAAGCTATTTTTTTATTTTTTTTTGCACAACAAGTCTACCAGTCATGTTATTTCTAGCACGATCATGGATGGCCAGCACAATCGACCGACGACACTATCAGTCGCTGATTGCCAAAGCAATTGATTGCCAGCTTGGTGATCCATTGCCAACCTAGCAATCCATCACAGTCCACTTTGTAATAGCCATTGGCACTGGATTGACACCACTCGTGGGGTTGGGCCGCGGCCAACTGACCTGGGATGGGCGCTCTGTTATGATTCTGGTTGTTCGTTGTCTGAAGACCAACACTCACTCACATAGACTTCCAGGTATGCCCATACATACACAGAAGGAAGGGGAGAGGATAGGAGTATCACACCGCACAGAGGAAAAGATAAACACAGGGGAAGACTTGACTATGCGATATGACAGGGTACACTGAAAGTGCAATTCACTCCACTCAATCCTCACAACCAGTCATAAAGGAAAGCCGAGTAGATCACATCCAAGAGAAAAATGAAACGATGATAGTCCAAACCCAGTATTACACTGTTTATTAAACTCAGAGTCTCAGATTGTCGGAATAACTTCAGACCCACAGTGTGCTGTTCCGAAATGAGCAGCGCTTCACTCCCCAACCCTGAGTAACCACTCGTGACACCCCTGAGCCCCTGAAACATCAAGCGCCACCCAGATACAGCCTCCAAAGGGAAGCGCCACCCTGAAACAGGCCTCTGAGCCCAAGCGCCACTCAGAGGATGAAGAAGAAGACCAGCGCCACAGTATCTGATGATGACGAAGTGTCGGGAGACTTCCCGGATGGAAGTCTGCCGCAGCGCCACCAAATCCTGACAAGATGACCTCTGAGGAAGAAGCTGCAGCTATGGCTGCAGCGCCACAACCCTGTGACCCCACTCCAGAGGAGGGTCCAGCAGGGCACCAACTTCTCCCGCCTCCAGCAGACCTCGATAACCCAGACCTCTGACAGCCCCGCGTGCTGGCAGAGTATAGCGCAGGTCCCAGCTATGAACGGCGCTAGGAAGGTCTGGCTATGTTTGTCTTCCTCAACGCTGAGCCGTCACCACTTCCAGTTCACGCGTTGCGCAGCAGCGATGTACTCCTAGACTCAACCTAGACCGGACTGACTGACCGACCGGTACCGATTCTGTTTCAGCCTCTCAGCCTCTACCTTACCCGGCTATAGGCTGTAGGACCGTCTATCAGCATAGGCCCTTAGGGCCTGTCTGTCCTAGAGGTAGCCCTGGCCCGCTATTCGCAATTAGGGTAGCAGACTAGCAGTAGGAAATTCAGTTAGTGCTGGGCCTATATTTTCCCAAATTTGCAGATATGTCCCCCACGAATTTCCCCTACAGGTAGGTCTCTCGCTTAGCCCTCAGTCAAACAAAATTACGAATCTGTGCTACCTATGGTACAGCCTCGACAGAGAGAGACTACAGGCGACCAGAAACAGCAAGTCATTGCAGCTCCTTGTGCCATCCTTGCCACGGATGTAAAAGGTGAAAAACCCTCATATACAATACAATGATTATTGGTTGCTTCCGAAGCGTTGCAATTCCAGTTCCAATTCCAATTGAGAGGTTGGTTTATTGTTCAAACATTGTTCATGTCCCCTCGTTGAAGTGCCCATTGGGCGTTGGAACACACCTTCAGTTGGCGTTCAGCTTCAATCGAAAAGGTAATTGTCAACATGGCACTGACCGCACCCATGGGGTCAATTGGTGCGGTACACATTTACTAATTAGTAATTTTACTCTTATTAAACAGGGAAAAAAGAAAGAATGACTTAGCACTCCAATAGAATGAGACGAATACAATAATATCAGGGAGTACCACCCCTTCCCCCCCAAAAAAAAAGGAAAAAACAGAAGAAGAAGAAGAAGAAGAAGAAGAAGAAGAAGAACAGAGAGAGAGAGAGAGAGAGAGAGAGAGAGAGAGAGAGAGAGAGAGAGAGAGAGAGAGAGAGAGAATGTCACGTTTCTACGTCCACTGGCATCCAAAAAAACAGAAAAAGAAAAGAGATGCTAGTGGTAAGAGGAAGGGAAGCACATAAAGGAGCGGTATGGAGGAGTGTTAGAGAGAGGCACGGAGGTAATCCCCCTGAGAAAAACAGCTTGGCGGTTAATCGAAACGTGGGGCGGGAATTCCATGGCATAACCTGTACTCAATTGCTTTTTGATGATCTTTTGCAATTGAGAGATGAATTGAGTGCTATTGTACTTGTCAATTTCTTTGACGTGCAACGTAATCTGTGTCATTTCCATACACAATGTGAACATGGCACCAACAATATGCCCATACAACTCCCCCATCTCCTCTTAGGGGCAGGTGCTCCCACTCAACCGAATGACAAATCCCTGGGTGTTGATGTCATCCTCATCAACAGCCGCAGATGCAGTTGAGAGGGACAACCCACACGAGGTAAGAT